GCATTTAGCATTTATTACAGTATATTCCACTGCGTGTCCTAATTCCCCACCCATAAAACCCTATAAACCCCGTTTTCGTAGGAGAACATGCAGGGAGTAGGGATTAATGAGTGGGACTACATAAGCTATTATTGCCTCTGGGTCCTTTTTTTGGGCGACGACAAATGTCACCCTTATTAATTTTCTTTGTTTCATAGAGTCTGTCCCGGAAAGACTATAGTATGTTTCCTCCGCGCAAGTTCGCTTCTGTTTAAAAAGGCCTTCTTTGTGGAGCGTTTTACTAATCAAACAACTTTTCTAGTTTTGATGCTAATCACTTCCTTTCCTCGCTTCCAAGGGAGGTTTTTGAGGCCACTGAACGCCTCATCATGCCGGAGATGCCTACCAGCAGTAGCAGGAGGAGCGTGCGTACCCGATCACCTACCGCGACCTCCGGGGATCAACCTCCCAGCGCCAAGTGCCGACGCCTGTTGGACAGTCAGCATGCTTCGACTGCGACTGCGTTGCTGCCCAACAATGATGTGCAGGCAGCTAAAGGAAAGCTGAACAACTCCCACAGCATCAATTCCTCTTGTCAGCAAGCTCTGGATAAAATGACACTCCTGGTCCTGATGTTTCAACAGGAGCTCGTTACCCTTCTAGCCAAGCTGGCCCTCGAGGAGATCGAGCCGTCGGGTGTGGACGCAGGATCATTTGCCTTGGCACAATCACCTGGTAGGTCCTCCGCCTAAAATTGGTTTCTGCTCACTCCCTTGTGTTCAGCGATGATACCCATGTAAGCATTCAGGAATTCAAGTTAGGCCAACGAATGTCTTCGATTAATTCATCATCAGACAAATAAAATAATATAAGGGACGGTATAGTTAACAAAAGTTAAAGCAACTAATCAGTAGTAATTATGGGGGAGGAGAGAGACGTGTTAAGGGATTAAAGGGGTCAGATTCTAGTCATAATTAGGGACCAGAGAGCGGAAAGATGGAGGAGGGCGCCGGCAATTAGTTCATGTCACCCCGTCGTCCTTGTCTCGCGTTTTGTTGGGAGGCGTGAGGACCCAAAATGTCATCCTCTCGTGACCGTGTGGGTGGCCTGGGGATGCTTGTTGTCACCGTCTCGCGGCACGGTAGAAAGCATGTGGACGGATGTTTACTTAGTCTTCGATCATGAGAACCCTAGTGCCTGTACAAACGTCTTCTGGGCGCATAAGATCGAATGAGTGAGGCGTATAGCGATTGCCTCCGCCGTCGCAAGTATCCACTGACGCAATAACTTGGAATGTTTCGCTGGCACATTATAAACTAAGGATGAATTAGTCGAAAATGTTCGTTCGCTTAACTTGACTTCCTGAATACTTACTGTTTGTGCTTACTGTATGGGCACTAATTCGGTTGGGGCGTATTGTTGTATGATGATTGACGGCGTGGTATTAGGCAAATCCAAGGTTCTGTAGGCAATCTCCTACTCAGAGTTTAAAGAAATTCCAGCACCGAGTTTTCTGTCACTCTGACGGTGATTTCAGACCTTTTTGTATGTTTACTGCTTCGTCCTGTCGTGCCTGTGTTGACTTTCCCCATTCATCCCTCATAGTCAACGTTCAGGGATAAAGGTTGTACTAGTCAACTTTATCCTTTCTGACGGCTGGTGTCTTGCGTATACAGCTCCTTTTCTGCTACATCGCGTGGTTGCGTCAGTTATCCGTGGACCGTTGTCGTCAGCTGCCCATTGATTTAGTGCTTTACTGAAACATCTTGGGAGGATAGCCGTTATTTCTCCATTGTTAGGCCTTCCTCGGAGGCGGCTGCATTGGGTTGGACCCGGAAATACTCGTGCAGTCCATGCGATCCAAAAATATCTACCATTTAGATTTACTAGACTGATAATGCTTCCACCCAACTCTCTAGGTCTGACTCCTACCCAGTCTCGAACGGAGGGCTCTCTGGTCAGCCAGAAACCCAACCCGCAAACAACACCCTCCTCGCTCACCGAATATAGTGGATTAGCCGTGTGTTGCGTCGGATCGAAGGAAAGGACGTCTGTGATGTCATATTTTCTAAGTCCGCTCCTAGCTAGTAACATCTAATAGCTGGCCAAATAAGAAACGAGATGGAAGCGGTAAGAGAGGAACTCAACGAAGTCTCCGATTCTATGGTTTTCGATCTGCTGGCTTGTTTGCCGAATGATTCAGCTGGCCTCAAGAATTTCCCTCCGACCGACTGCCACACAAAGCGGCTATTTGCGATGCCATGAACCCGCAGCCGGGCCCCCAACCAAGCCGGATTCCGAGCTGGGCGTGGATGTGCGGATCAAATATTC